TTGGAAAACAATTTGGCAGTTCCTAAATATCTACAGTATTATCCATGACTTACACAAAATAATATTCTTTTTAAAAGATTTATTTATTTATCTGAAAGTCAGAGTTACATACAGAGAGGCAGAGAGGCAGAGAGAGAGAGAGAGAGAGAGGGGTCTTCCATCTGCTGGTTCACTCCCCAACTGGCCGCAATGGCCGGAGTTGCACCAATCCTAAACCGAGAGCCAGGAACTTCTTCCAGGTCTCCCACATGGGTGCAGGGGCCCAAAGGACTTGGGCCATCTTCTACTGCTTTTTGAGACCATACCAGAGAGCTGGATTAAAAGTGAAGCACCCAGGACTCTAACCGGTGCCCATATGGGATGCTAGCACTATAGGCAATGGCTTTACCCACTGTGCCACAGTGCCGGCCCACCCAAAATAATATTCTAGGTATTTACTCAAGAGTCACAAAAGCACAGGTCCACAGGAAGACTTTTACATGAATATTGGTAACAGCCCCAAGCTGGCCACAACTCAAACACCATCAATAAGTGCAGGAATAAATGCACACATATCACATCCCTACAACAGGAGACCACTGACACACGCAACAACATGGAAGTATCTTAAAATCATCTTGAAAGAAAGCTGCCAGCCCAAAAAACAGAACACCCTGGGACACATGCTGGTGTTTCCTTTGTGAGCCTAAAGAGGATTATTGGCCCTAATCCTCTTTCTCTGGCAATCATGACCTCATGCATCCATTTTAAGTTCTCCCTCAGTTAAGCACAGACCTCCCAGCCTTCAGTCAAGGCAAGTCTTATAAGCACACCAACCCATGTGGTGAGAAAGACTTATTTTTAAACAGCAAGAATAAAGCAGTCAATAAAGGCTTTTTAAAACAAAGACATCTTACAAGGTTGGCCCTCATAATCAGCAATCTGATAGTTTTCTGCTTGTTTGTTTTCACCAAAGCATAAAATAAACAATGAAAAATAACAGATAAAAATCAACCAGAATGTGAGAAACCCAAAATGCAAAATAAACACTAACATTGAAGAAGTTGTGAAAGAAAAACACTAACATCAGTAACTTTCAAAACAGTATTTTGGCTGTATATAATAGGCTAAAGACAAATCTCTTAGAGCAATGTTGGCATTTGAGATTTCTTTATGTGAATCAGGTAAGTATACTGTTAGAATAAAGTGTCAAGAACAAGGAAAGTGGCAAGTGTTGGGGTACAGCGAGTTAAGCCACCATCTGTGGATGCCAGCACCCCCTACTGGAGCACTGGCTCAAGTCCTTGCTGCTCTGCTTCCAATCCGATTCCCTGCTGATGTACCTGGGAAGGCAGTGGAAGATGGTCCAAGTGCTTGAACCTGCCCCTTATACCCATGTAAAGACCCAGTTAGAGTTTCTGGCTCCTGGATTCAGCCTGGCCCAGCCCTGGGCATTGCAGCCATTTGGAGAGTGAACCAAGCATAAGGAAAATCTCTTTTTCTGCATCTCTCCCTCTGTCTCTGTTTCAAATAAATAAGTATAAAAAAAAAGGAAAGGGGAGGGTTAGGTTGTTGGACTGAAATCAAAGTATCAGAGTCCTTAACATAAGTATAGATAGATAGGTTAGCAATAAAGACATGTGTGTGTGCATGTACACACAGTTATAAAGTGTGTGTGTACATGTTTGTATTCCTAACTCTTTCTGCTGAGAGGAATGACAATCTCTTTCATCCCAGTAGCAGCAAACACACCTATGCCCTCATCTGGGTATCTAAATGTCATTTTTTAACAAAAGGAACCAGAGTTTCTTGAAGAAGTGGTTGATTATACAGCTGGGTCTGGAAAATGATCTTGGGGCATCTTGGGGCCCCAGAAAACTGTGTGTAAACAATGAAGGGTCACAATGGAAGAACACAAGGAAGCCCTTAATGACCCAAACTTGAGACAACTGAGCAAGATGGTAATGATAATTTGAGGGGATTACAACCTTCCAAACAAAACAAATAATCCAAAGTCCATACTAACAGAAATTGCCGAATACACTCCTTAAGTGAGGAAGAAGGGATAGTTTTTTAATTAAAAATGTAGAGGCAGGCATTTGGTACAGTTGTTATTTATGTCACCACTTGGGATGCCTGCATCCCATATCAAAGTGCCTGGTCTGAAACCCAGCTCTGCTTTCAATTCAGCTTCCTGCTAATGCAGACCCTGGGAGCCAGCAGATGACGATTCCAGAATTTGAGTCCTGGTAACCCATACGGGGAGACCCAGATTGAGTTCCTGGCTCCCTGCTTTGGCCTGCCCAGGCTTAGTCAATGACAGCATTTGGAGAGTGACCCAGGATATTGAGGATCTCTGTCTGTCTGCCTTTCAAAGAAACAGAAAGATCAATAGGGGCCTGTGCTCTGTACAGTAGGCTAAGCCTCCACCTGCCACACCGGCATCCTGTATGGGGCCAGTTTGCATCCCAGCTGCTCCTCTTCCAAGCCAGCTCTCTGCTTATGGCCTTGGGAAGCAGTGGGAGATAGCCCAGGTGCTTGGGCCCCTGCACCCCTGTGAGAGAGCTGGAAGAAGCTCCTGGCTTCTGACTTCTGATCAGCTCAGCTCCTGCCACTGCAGCCATTTGGGGAGTGAACCAGCAGAGGAAGACCTTTCTCTATGTCTTTCTCTGTCTATAACTCTACCTCTCAAATAAATAAAATATTTTTATTGTATTTTATTTATTTATTTTTGACAGAGACAGTGAGAGAGAGAGAGAGAGAGAGAGAGAGAGAGAGAGAAAGGTCTTCCTTTTTCGGCTGCCACGGCCTGCCAGCCAGTGCACTGTTCCAATCCGAAGCCAGGAGCCAGGTGCCTCCTCCTGGTCTCCCATGCAGGTGCAGGGGCCAAGCACTCAGGCCATCCTCCACTGCACTCCCAGGCCACAGCAGAGAGCTGGTCTGGAAGAGGAGCAACTGGGACAGAATCCGGCGCCCTGACTGGGACTAGAACCCGGGGTGCCGCCGCTGCAGGCAGAGGATTAGCCTAGTGAGCCACGGGGCTGGCCAATAAAATCTTTTTCAAAAAAGATAAATAAAGGACCAGTGCTGTGGTTCAACGTCTTAGGGCCTAGGCCTGTGGTGCCAGCATCCTGCATCCCATGTGGGTGCTAGTTCGGATCTTGTCTGCTCCACTTCCAATCCAGCTCTATGCAATGACCTGGGAAGGCACCAGAGGATGGCCCGGGTGCTTGGGCCCCTGTGCCCATGTGGGAGGCCCAGGGAAGGTTCCTGGCTCCTGGCTTCAGGTCAACTCAACTCTGGCCATTGCAGCTGGTTGGACAGGGAAGCAGTAGATGAAAGACTTCTCTCTCTCTCTGTCTCTCCTTCTCTCTCTGACTTTCAAATAGATAAATAAATCTTTTTTAAAAAGATAATTAAAGTTTTAAAACTGTAGAAGGAATGATGGAAAAAGTGAACCTCACCATAGCAAATTAAGAATGCCTGCTAGGGCCTGGCACTGTGGTGTTGCAGGTAAAGCTGCTGCCTGCAGTGCTGGCATGGCATACAGGTGCCAGTTCTAGTCCCAGCTGCCCCACTTCCGATCCAGCTCTCTGCTATGGCCTGGGAAAGCAGAAAATGGCCCAAGTCCCTGGGCTCCTGCACCTGTGTGTGAAACCCAGAGGAAGCTCCTAGCTCCTGGCTTTGGATTGGCGTAGCTCCAGCCGTTGCAGTCAGTTGGGGAGTGAACCAGTGGATGGCAGACCTCTCTCTCTCTCTCTCTGCCAACACGCACAACCTCAGTCTGATCATGAGAACATCAGGCCAAGTCAAACTGAACGTTCCTCTGCAGCATAACCGACCAGGACTCTTCAGAAGCGTCCAGGCCATGAAGGAAGACTGAAGAACTGTCCCAGACTCTGGGAGACTAACCAGACAGGACACTGGAGGCAAGCTGGAGGCCTGGCTCACACCCTGGACCAGAAAAAGGAAACCAGTGGGAAAACTGCAACACTCCGGTGAGGGCCAAGGACACTTTAGCAGTATTTACTCATGTTAATCTGCCAGTTTTTGACTGCACTGCGGCTCTGTACGACGCTAACATTAGGAAAACAAGGTAAACCACATCCAAATAGCTCCATACTATTTTTGAAGCTCCTCTGAAAGTCCAAAATTATTTTAAAAAAGTTAAATTCATGAGGAAGGCACTGTGTGTGGGCTCCCGGAGGCCCTGGATCCACACCACCCTGCCGCTCTGACCCAGGTGCAGAACTGCACCAGGGCATCAGGAGGGGCTCATGTGTGCCATCTCCTTCTCTGCGCTTATGTGAATCCTTTAAAAGGCCACAAAATACACTAACCCCAGAGCAGGCGAGAGCAGTGAACTGACATGGTAGCAAATGAGTCATTTCTTTCTTTTTTTTTTTTTTTCTTTTTTTGGACAGGCAGAGTGGACAGTGAGAGAGAGAGACAGAGAGAAAGGTCTTCCTTTTGCCGTTGGTTCACCCTCCAATGGCCGCCGCGGCCGGTGCGCTGCGGCCGGCGCACTGCGCTGATCCGATGGCAGGAGCCAGGAGCCAGGTGCTTTTCCTGGTCTCCCATGGGGTGCAGGGCCCAAGCACTTGGGCCATCCTCCACTGCACTCCTTGGCCACAGCAGAGAGCTGGCCTGGAAGAGGGGCAACCGGGACAGAATCCGGCGCCCCGACCGGGACTAGAACCCGGTGTGCCAGCGCCGCAAGGCGGAGGATTAGCCTAGTGAGCTGCGGCGCCGGCCCACAAATGAGTCATTTCTAAAAATCATAAGGAAACAACAGTTCAGACTTATTACTATAATAATTTTTGCCCATCACTAAATAAAATGAAGTATTTTTTAAAAATAATCAATAGAAAATACACAGTCCTGGCTACTTTTAACTTAAGACTTTGAAATATTAAGATGATTTCTATGCTGCATGAATTATACTGTTTTACTTGGCATTTATTCACTGTTTTACTAAAGTAGAATTTAAAATAGAATTTAAAATTTAAAATACAACTTACTTTTTCATTTTTTATGGTTACATAAAGGTAAACCTCAAAAGTGTCTTCTTCCACAGCACATAATTTGGCTTCTACCTGGGTAGTTGCTAGATGGCACAAAAGAAAACTCAAATCAGCTGACATTAAAAGCGTTCTTGAGAAAATCATGGCTATTTCCCATCTGTTAATCTCTGCCAACCACGAAAAAGTTCCCAGTGCCAAAATGACCAAAGTCTTCCCAGGAGCCGTGAAAAAGGCTCTTCAGCCAGTGGTGTTATAAGTAAGCCCTTTATCCCATCAACAGCATCCTCCTGCCACCCTTCAAATGCCTCCCCCTCCAGGGTACTTCTTGGTCCTCCCAATGGTCGGCCTCATCCAAACCCCCATGCTCACTTCCCAGAAGCCCCAGAGAGCTCACAAGGGCCCAAATTCCAAATCTAGCGACCCTTCCAACCTCCAGTTCCTTCCAACATCAGAGCACTTGGTTTTCCTTTCCCCAGTGTTGCAGGACAGCTCAGAAGAGGAGGCAGGACTCAATTAGGTACCAGGCCGTCCCACAGGCATTTCACACTCCCTAACTCTTCTGAACAGCCTACAGCCTTAAGAAGCAGACAGAGTCACTAGGCTTCTGACTGCCAGGGGTCAGGACAGATGCCACAAGAGACACTGACATGAAATGAAGAGAGCCACTACACAGGTTGTCAATGACACTTTACACATCTTAAATCAGCAACTGATTATTATATAGCAAACACCCACTTCCTATAATCTCGCTCACTGAACAAAGCTAGGCTTTCCAGCAACTGCTGGTCTAATAACATCCGTGTCCATTTACTCTGCAGTGTTGCAGCTTCTATGCAAGCAAAGCAGTGGACACTATTCTCGTGCAGGCATCCCCCCCACAAAAGGCCCCTTTCTGATCAGCTGTCAGCTACTGACCTCCCCGTTCACCTACAAAGCTGCAGGGGTGCTGAGTACTGGGCAGAAGCAGCTGCAGGTACTTAGGGAAACCTGCCAAGAGGGTCAAACAGCCAGATAGGCACCTGGCCAAGCCTGCACCCACAGAAGGCTGAGCGACCTCGGCGGCAGTTCAAAGCAGGCTCTGAGTGCGCACCGGCTTACCTTTCAGGACATTCTGAAAGTACTGAACAGCGGCACTGTCCCACTTCTTGGCAGGTCTGAAACAGTGAACAGGGCAACTTCATTAAACAAAACCCCAAGGCTAGTACACTAACCTTGCTTTGTAAACCACACACAGGGCTCTTTCTGCATGACCAATCAAGCACACGATGCACACAACAGACAGCATAGCTCTGGCCCTGCTCCGGGTGGATAAAGACCCCAGCTACTTCCTGTGACACACCCCCTCCACACTGCTGCTTGCACCAACACAAACTCACATCCCAGGAGCCCCAGTGAGGTGACCTGTGCTCACCACCTGGCACTGCCTGCTGCAACATCAGTTACCTGTGACAAATCAAAACACAAGCTCCCTGGGGCAGCGATTCTGAGATCACTGCGTCTCCACAGGCTGGCACAGAGAGGGATCAGTACATGTCGGCTAAGCCAACAGTGTAGGGGCAGCTGTGGGGAAGCGGCTGCTATGGTCCTCACTCTGCCCACTAGAGCACCCATTCGCCACCTCCCATTTGATCTCTATCAACTTAACCTTTCTACAGCTCGCCTATGCTTTGGAAAGAAAATCACAGGAAAAGGTATAGGCAGTAGAAAATCAGGAGAAACCAGTATTTAGAAGGAATAAAAATAAAATAAAAAGTCAAGATCAGAATAATATATTTACATTTCTCTTGTTTGGATCTATCAGATATGCTACCACCATACTTCAAGAGTTATTTTAGTTTTTTAAATGTTTATTCATTTTTATTTATTTGAAAGGCAGAGCATCAGAGAGGGCAAGAGAGAGAGAGAAATCTTCTATCTACTGGTTCACTCTCCAAATGTCTCCAACAACTGGGCCTGGACCATGCTGAAACCAGGAGCCCGGAACTCCACTCAGGTCTCCCTCACAGGTGGCAGGTACTCAGGATTTGATCCACCATTTGCTGTCTCCTAGGGCATTAGCAGGAAGCTGTCCTGGAAGTGGGCAGCCAGGACTTACATCAGGTACTCCAGTATGGAACCAAAGGTGCCCCAAGCAGTGGCTTACTCGGCTGTATCACAAGATCCATTCCTTCCAAGAGTTATTTTAAAGATCAAATGGGGGGGGCAGTTAAATCCAATAACCACATCGGTCATAGTCACCCATGAAAAAGACTCAAAGTGGTTAGGAGAGGGATATGGATTGGCAAAGAACCTCCACAGCTACTCCTAAGTTAATTCTGCAAACAAGAGAGCCTGTTCTCTTCCTAAGAAAGTCCATGCCCACAGAGGTGTCTAACCTCACGGACAGAGGGGAGGATCCAGGCTCACAGGGGTATGTAAGTGCATCCACAGAGGGCGAGATCCAGGCTCACAGGGGTGTCTAAGTGCACCGACAGAGGGCGAGATCCAGGCGCACAGGGGTGTGTACAGGCACTGACAGAGGGCAGGATCCACGATCACATGGGTATGTAAGTGCACCAATGGAGGGTGGGAAGGTCAAAGCCTGCACAGCCCACAGAGGCCTCCAGGAGGAAAGACGTGGGACAGAGGCAGGCATGTGGTCAACATTTTTTTAATGCTCCAGCAGTTTTATTTCATGAAAGCTTTTCTTTAGAATTACTCTACTACTTTTTTTTTTTTTTTTTTTGACAGGCAGAGTGGACAGTGAGAGAGAGAGAGAAAGGTCTTCCTTTGCCGTTGGTTCACCCTCCAATGGCCACCACGGCTGGCGCGCTGCAGCTGGCGCACCGCGCTGATCCGAAGGCAGGAGCCAGGTGCTTCTCCTGGTCTCCCATGGGGTGCAAGGCCCAAGGACTTGGGCCATCCTCCACTGCACACCCTGGCCACAGCAGAGAGCTGGCCTGGAAGAGGGGCAACCGGGACAGAATCCGACGCCCCGACCGGGACTAGAACCCGGTGTCCCAGCGACACAAGGCGGATGATTAGCCTATTGAGCCACGGCGCCGGCCTCTACTACTTTTTATAAGTTGTTTTTTTAAGTCAAAAGACACAGAGCTCAGGCCCTGGAGTGGGTGCTTGAGAATTCTACTCACAGCCAGTTTGACCAGCACCAACTCAGAGGCTGCCTCCTGCAGAACTCAGACCTTCAAAACCTGTTCGCGGGTAACTGATGGCACATAAATGCAGACATGAACTGAAGGCGTTTACTCATGATTCCTGTGACTTCAGAACCTGTACTTACACAATCTCGGCGCTGTCTTCACAGAAGTCAATGTGCAATGTAACAGGCTTCATGCAGTACAACCGGAACTTTTTTGCTCTGTAGGGAAGCTGCATAAATGATTCCACTGCAACTCGGATGCTGACAAATGAAGCAGAGAGAGTTCCATTATAAAACACACAACACAGAACAGACTCCTTTATAGTTCACCTAGGTCAGTAACATGCTTGCCGTAAAACAAAGTAAAGACATGCCTTTCTGATTCTAACACAGCCTCCAACAGATGCTTGGAGACATCTGGCCAAGGGGACAGAACTGCTTCTTGGAGGGTGGAAAAAATCTTTCTGTAAAAGCAGAGAGATCCTACACAGTGATTCAGTGTATCTGTGGCATCAAAATTTCATGGCACAGGGGCAGGAATTCAGGGAGAGTGTATCTGGTGAGGCTCCTCAGGTTAAGACACACTGTGCAGCTGGCACTGTGGCGCAGGTGAAGGCGCCACCCACGGCGCCAGTGTCCATGCGAGTGCCAGCTTGGGCCCAGATCCACTGCCGATCCAGCTCCTTGCTAATGTGCCTGGGACATCATGAAGACAATTCAAGTACTTGGGTCCCTGTGCCCACATGGGAAACTCAGAGTTCTGGGTTCCTGGTTTCAGCTTGGCTGTGGTGGGTATTTGCAGGAGTAAACGAAAGGATGAAAGATACACTTCTCTTTCTTTCTCTCCTTTTCTGTCACTCTGCCTTTCATACCACAAATCAGAAGGAAGGAGGGAAGGAGGGAGGAAGAGAGGAAGGAGGGAAAGAAGGAACAGAAATACTGCACAGGGGCAGGCATGCGGCCTACCTGCTGGGATGCTGCTTGGGATGCCCTGATCTCGTGTCAGAACACCCGGGCTCCAGTTCTTGTTCCACACCCAATCAGCCTCCTGCTGGTGCAGGCCCTGGGAGGCAGCAGGTGGCTGGGTCTCTGCCACCCACAGGAGAGACCACATTGAGTTTCCAGTTCCTGGCTCCAGCATGGCCTACCCAGGGCTGTTGTAGGTATTTTAGAAGTGAAACAAGAAGGCACGTGCTCGCGCGCTCGCTCTCTCTCTCTCTCTCTGTCTCTCTGCCTTTCAAATACATAAAAAGTGAAAAATAAAAGGAAACACTGAATAACAATGAATAAGCCTGTGAAATAAATTCCATTTACTACATGACCAGAATTACTCCAACATTGCTGTCTATGAACAGATGTTTTAAAAATTAGTATTTGCCAACTTTGCACAAAACAGCTGATGGACGGCGAGGTGACAAGGCAAGCAACAGACATGTCAACATATTTCCTCACCATCAAGCAGCTCTCTTCCCTGAAGCCCTACCCTTTGTCTTAGACAGGTTAGAGCTCTACTTAATCATTTGATTTTCTTGCCAAAAATAAACTCAAAACACCAAATACAAAAGGAAAAGCTCCCCAGATGGCTAAACACAGTAAGTACTTAAAAAAAAAAAAAAGACTTATTTGAAAGAGTTGCACAGAGGGAGAGGGGGGAAGGGAGAGCGGGATTAAGAGGGGGAGGGGGAGGGGGAGGGGAAGGGGAAGAGGAAGGGAGAGGTCTTCCATCCACAGGTTCACTCTCCTATTGGTCACACCGGCTGGAGCTGTGCGGATCTGCAGCCAGGAGTAAGGAATTTCTTCCAGGTCCTCCTACACACGGGTGCAGGGCCCAAGGACTTGGCTTTCCCAGGCCATAGCAGAGAGCTGGGTCAGAAGTGAAGCAGCCTGGGCTTTTTAACCGGCACCTATATGGGATGTCGGCTCTGCAGTTGGTGACTGTACCGCTATGCCACAGCGCTGACCCCAAGTACTTTTATAACAATTATGGTCACAGAGGTGCAGAATCCCAAGCTGGGGAGGCACCTACTTTTCCCTTGAGTATCTGCAAATCCTCCATGTCTGATGAGCCCTTCTGCCACGAAACTCCTCTACGTGAGAGACACCTCTTACTGCACCGAAGGCTAGCTGGCTCTGCTCTTTTTGCACTGGAATAAGAGCCCTTGTGTTTGCCTATTAAATGGACATCCTTTTACTCTGGGACAAACCATGGGACAATTATCACTAAACACCAACAGTGACTTGTGCTAGCTTTTTCTCAACATTTATTTATTTGAGAGGTAAAGTTATAGACAGAGAGAGGGGAAGACAGAGAGGTTGGTCTTCCATTCTCTGGCTCACTCCCCAAATAGCTACAATGGCCAGAGCTGGGCCAATCGGAAGCCAGGGGCTTCTTTGGGTCTCCCACGTGGGTGCAAGGGCCCAAGCACTTGGGTCATCTTCTGCTGTTCTCCAAGGCCATGAGTAGGGAGCTGGATTCAAAGTGGAGCAGCTGGGATCCGAACGGGTGCCCATACAGGATGCTGGCACGGCAGGCAGAGACTTAACCTACTATACCATAGCACCAGCCTCGTGTGCTGGCATGTTCCCTCCCCCCTCCCCGCCCAGAAACCATTTATTAAAACTTCATGCATTTTATCAATACAACTTTAGGAACACAGTGATGTGCTAATGTTTTCTAGTGAGCTGTGACATGCAGTCCCACAGTCAATGAAGGTTACAGTCAGGACGAGCCTGAACCGTCTCCACACCCTACGTGATAGCCACACCTTTACTCTGTGACGCAGAACAACCAGGAATACGCACTTGAGTATATAATCTGCTCTCTGCAACCTGAGGGTGGCCATCAATTTCCTCCTCTGTGGAGACACGGAGAGTTTCTCTCTACCTCCTGGTGGTGAGGCAAACCGCACTGAAGGACCCACCCCATCTCACGTGCAAACTAAGAGGACAGGCCAGAGAGCAGCTGGCACAGGGCACCCAGGAGACGAGAAGGGAACAGCCTGAACCTGCCCTGCCCCACCCTAGGCAGGCAAGTGGAGAAAGGCCACAGTCACTCTCTCTGTCCTCATTAGGACCATTTGCTCCCCTAGTCATGCACGCAGAATGGAAACCTGCAGTCTTCCTTCATTATTTATCTGAAAGTCAGAGACAGAGACAAACACAGATGCCTGTCCACTGGTTGATTCATTTCTCAAATGCGGCAACAGCCAGGCTGACACCAGGAGTCCAGAACTCAGTCTCCCGTGTGGGTGGCAGGGGTCAACTTGAGCCCTCATCTGCTGCCTCCCGGGGGTGCACTGGCAGAAAACCAGAGTGGAGAGTGGAGCTGAGATTCAAGTGCAGGCACTCTGATGTGACGCACAGGCATCCAAGTCGTGACTTCATCACCGCGCCAAATGCCTGGCCCAAGTTTTCATTTCTTAAGGCACAAAAACTCTCAATGTCTTCTTTTTGCAAAAGGTAATCCCCTTACTTTAAAAACTGACATTCTCCTTTAAAATTCATCATTATCTCCTTAAAGAGAGTAAGGCAAACAGACATAAAACCACACATACGTCTAAACAAATTCAGAGTTGGTGAACTCAAGGGGCTTCCATAGCCTAGACAGCTCATAGCAAGAGGCTCGGGTGATTGCTGACAGCATAAATAAGTGTGCCAATTGTTAAATCAACAACGGGAGTCACTGGGTTCATGCTCCCCATGTAGGATCTCTGTCCTTAATGTGTTTTACTATGAAACTTAAAAACAACACTACTAGTCGAACAATACCCTATACCTGGTTCGGTTGTGTGAGTGCAGCCTGTGGAAATCCCTGCTTAGTATATACTAAGTTGATCTTCAGTATATGAAGGTAATTGAAAATGAAACGTGATGAAGGGCGGGATGGGAGAGGGAGTGGGGGAGGGGAGGGCCACGGGAGGGAGGGAGGTCAGGGTTGAGGGGAAGCCACAACAATACAAAAGATGCATTTTATATTCTACTTAAAACTATTGGTTGAACTCTGTAATTAATACACAATTACTCTTAGGTGTATAATTAATGCTGTAAGTAGTACTCAAATAGTATTTTACACTTTGTGTTTCTGTGTGGGAGCAAAATGTGGAAATCTTAACATATGCTAAATTGATCTTCTATATATAAAGATAATTGAAAATTAATCGTGATGTGAAGGGGAAGGGGAGAGGGAGTGGGAGAGGGGAGCGTTGTGGGTAGGAGGGAAGTTACGGGGGGGAGAAGCTCTTGTAATCCATAAGCTGTACTTTGGAAATTTATGCTCATTAAATAAAAAAAAAAAAAAAACATACGTACTTTTTAGATTTTACTGGAATGTACCTGGCGAAGTCTACAAGGAAACACTCTGCCAGGTAATGGTCTGCTGAAGACATGACTGACTTAATGATGGCCCTGCACCAGCACCAGAGCTCCGGACAATACACCACGCAGACCTGCAAAACAGAAGGCAGGCTTTATTACGTTCAGCAGTCAAACCTCTAGTCACGTGATGACAGCCCTAAAGGCTCCTCTCCACATCGTCTCAGCCTGTACCCCACTTACAGGAGATGACACAGGTGTAGGAGGCTGCCCAAACTGAGCACTGTCTCCCAGGAAAAGGCCCCCAGAAAGCAGAGATCAGCTGAAAGGAAAGTGCTAAACAGGAAGAATTCCAGCTCACCAATACAGAAGGAGTGGGAGAAATCACCATATTGAAACAAATGAGGGGCCCGTGCTGTGGCATATCCTGTAAAGCCACTACCTGCAGTGCTGGCATCCTATATTGGCGCCGGTTCGAGCCCCGGCTGCTCCACTTCCAATCCAGCTCTCTGCTATGGATGGGAAAGCAGTAGAAGATCGGCCACGTCCCTGGCCCCTGCACCAGGAGCTTCCTCCTGGTCCCTGGCATTGGATCGGCACAGCTCTGGTTGTCGCGGCCAACTGGGCAGTGTACCAGGGAGTAGAAGATCTCCTCTCTCTCTCTGCCTCTCCTCTCTGCGTAACTCTGACTTTCAAATAAATAAATCACTCTTTAAAAAAAAAGAAAACAAATGAAAGTGGATTCGGGCAGTGACAGCCACTGAATGGAGAGAGCATGAAGTGAAACACTCACAGCAGTGCCACGAAGGAGGGGTCACCCTAGCATGGCTTGCAAGTGGCGCTCTCTCCCATGTTAAACCCACATGAAGGTAACAGCACACCTGTTCTTCAAAACAAGTGACCCTCAATCTATTCACAGTGTCCTGTTTAACCACCTCTCCACAAAAGGACAGGGAGAAAGCGCTCACCTCCTGGGTAAATGCTCACTGTGAGGAGCCCATCATGCTTTCCCAAACAAGACTACACTTAAAGGACCACTGACCCCGTTCCATCCCTCCAGTATGTCACTGGTATGGAAAAATAACAAATTGGTCACTAAGGACATTTGTGGGCACGAGGGAAGGAAATCAGATGAGGTCTTGTCTCCCTCCTAACGAGTGTTCATGTCCTTCCCCTCCATGCTATTACCGAAGTTCACACTTGGAACGTGGCTGACCCAAGAGAAATCAGACCACAGCAATGGTGGCTGAGGCTGCACGAAAGCAAAGAAGCCCTGATGTGGAGCACAGAGCAGAAACAATCCCAAGTCGGTCAAAGCCATGAGCAACCAAAGAGGGAGGCACGGCCCAGAACCGAAAACCCCAGGTCCTCTTTGCCAAGGTCCGTATACCTGCCCTGGCTCCCACCGCCAGGAAGACGGCCCTAACACCTGGATCTGGATGGCATCTATCCCAAGGCCCCACTTGGACCTACACAAGCACCACCCCCTGCCACCATCAGCCTGAGTCTCATGCAACCCAAAAACCTAACACAAGGCAACAACCATGAACGTTAAAATACTCTAATCACATTCATCATTCTAAGCTCCTGAAATATTTTTAACAATTATCTGGTAGACAGAGCACTCCCACCCAATGATTCACTCCCCAAGGACCACAACAGCCGTGGGGGAGAGGGTGAAGGCTATGAGCTAGGAACTCAATCCAGGTCTCTCAGGTGGGTAACAGGGATCTAATTACTTGAGCTATCATCTGGTGCTTCCCAGGGTCTGTGTATTAGCAGGAAGCTAGAATCAGGAACCGAATGCAAACACTCTAACATGGTGGTGTTTCAACTACCTGGCCAAACACCCACCCCTACATCCTGATTAGTGTTTCAAGATAGGATAATTAAAGGCTGGTGCTGGTTCCAGTTCCGGCTGCTCCACTTCCAGTCTGGTTCCCTGCTAATGAGCCTGCGAAAGCAAAGGAAGATGGTCTGAGTCCTTGGGTCCCTGCACCCACGTGGGAGATCCAGATGGAACTCCTGACTCCTGGCTTCGGCCTGGCCCAGTCCTGGTCATTAAGGCCATTTGGGGGTTGACCTAGAGGATGGAAGATCTATCTGTCCCTCTAACTTTGCCTTTCAACTAAATAAATCGTTAAACAATAATAAAGATACAATAAATAAAGTGCATTCAGATACATACCTGTCCTTCTTCCAACATTAATGGTTTTATTTCTATATCTTTACACATGCTGTTATAGAAGTCATTCATGGCGCTATTTAGTTTTTGATAGTCGACTTCATGATCCAAAAAGGGACTACATCCTTTTATAATAACCCAGAAGCAATCTGGATCTTCAACCTGTAGAATTTTTAGAAGATTATAAAATAATGCATGATTTATTTTAAAACCAAATAAACCTTAGAACCATGTAACTTTCTAATTTAAGTGATCTATCATTTTTGACAACTACCTTTCTCTTAAATGGTCATACCAAAGAGCCAAAGATAAAATTTAAAACATGTAATCAATAATATGTAATTCTCAATTATGTAGTACAACTCAAAAAGCAATCAGTTCTATTTGGTCTCCTGTAGCTTAAAAATATAAGTATTAAACATATTCTTCTTATTAAAATACCTATTAAAACATCCATATATACAAAAGGTTCAGAACATTTTTAGTATTCTTTTTGTGTAAGAAAAATAAGTATGAATATATATACAGCCTGCTCATATTTTTTTAAATGACAGCAGATGAACCAAAACAAATACAGATTACCTCCTACAGGAGAAAAGAATGGAGTGGAAAGAATAAGGATGAAACTTAGACTTCTCTGAATGGGTCTTATCTACTATTGTTATTAGAAACCAAGATTTTTATTGTTAGGGGAAAGAATTATAAAATGGAAAATTAAATTTTTTAAAAGATTTTATTTGTTTGAGAGGTAGAGTTACAGAGAGAGGGAGAGACAGAGAAAAAGGTCTTTCATCCGCTAGTTCGCTTCCAAAATGCCCACAACGGCCAGAGCTGGGCAGATCCAAGACCAGGAGCCAGGAGCTCCTTCTGGGACTCCCATGCAGGTGCAGGGGCCCAAATACTTGGGCCATGTTTTACTGCTTTTCCAGGCCATACAATAGAGCTGGATAGAAGAGGAGTAGCTAAGACATGAACTGGCGCCCATAAGGGATGCCGGCACCACAGGCAAAGGCTTAGCCTATTATTCCACAGCACCAGCCCCCCAAAATTAAGTTTGATTGACAACATCACTAAGAACTCATGATTTGGGGCCGATGCTGTGGTGCAGTGGGTTAAAGCCCTGGCCTGAAGCACCAGCATTCCATATGGGTGCCGGTTCAAGTCCCAGCTGCTCCACTTCCGATCCAGCTCTCTGCTGTGGCCTGTCCAAAAAAAAAAAAATCGTGAGTTTTTTTTTTTAATTTAATTTTATTTATTTGAAAGAGTTACAGAGAGAGGTAGCAGTAGAAGATGGCCCAAGTCCTTGGGCCCCTGCACCCACGTGGGAGACCTGGAGGAAGCTCCTGGCTTCGGATTGGCACAGCTCCGGCCGTTGCAGCCATCTGGGGAATGAACCAGCAGATGGAAGATCTCTCTTTCTGTCTCTACCTCTCTCTGTAACTCTTTCAAATAAATAAAATTAAATTTTAAAAAAGAACTCACGATTTTTTTCTTTTGACAGGCAGAGTTAGTGATAGAGAGAGAAAGGTCTTCCTTCTGTTGGCTCACCCCCCAAATGGCCGCTACAGCCAGCGTGCTGCACTGATCTGAAGCCAGGAGCCAGGTGCTTCCTCCTGGTCTCCCATGGGGTGCAGGGCCCAAGGACATGGGCCATCCTCCACTGCCTTCCCGGGCCACAGCAGAGCTAGACTGGAAGAGGAGCAACCGGGACAGAATCCAGCGCCCCAAATGGGACCAGAATCTGGGGTGCCAGTGCCACAGGCGGAGGATTAGCTAAGTGGACCACAGCGCCGGCCAGAACGCACGATTTTTCAGAGGTTTTTCCTAACTCTGTCTACTGAAAAGGTATGGAAGCAGAAACACCCAGAGATATGGAGTCTAAGTTACCAGTGGCAGGAATAGAAGAGTTCACCTTAGTAATCGTATTATTTTTCTGAATGTTTGACTATTCTCATAATAAATAACTGGAAAATGAACAGCAGTCATTCTGGCAAGGGCAAAATAGTGTATAAGTTACACACACAGCACAATTATGAACCTGAAAAAACACAAAATAAATGAGCTGGCAAAAGCAACAGACACTGGAGAGCTGACCCTCGAAAGAAGGAACTTCACTGGGCACTATCCCAGAACACCTCCCAGTTGTACAGAGTGGCAACAACTCAACACAAAGTCACACTGTGGCTCGAGGAATCAGAGCTGTCAGTGCCAGTGAGGATTAGGGGGAGAAATTCTGAAACAGCCATAGAGGGAGCCCTGATGTCTGCACATCAACACCCCCCCCATCCTTGCCAAGTCCTGAACGGCAATGGGCGAGACAGCAAGGAGTACGGAGTACGTGAACAGTGCAGGGCTCAGAGGAGCACGCAGTTACAGCTGCTGCCCCTAGAAACAGCACTCCGGGCATGTGGCTCCATTCAGTCCTTCGCACTCAGAGACAACCAGATTCCGGCTTCCAGCAGCACAAGGCCACAACCCTGGGATGACTGCAATTATTCATTAAAGTGCTCACTTGAGTGGTGAGCATGTGGCCTAACAGTCATGACACTCACTGAATCCCCCCGCCAGAGTGCTAAAGATTCAATATTCAGTTCCAGCTCCTGACTCCAGCTTCCTGCTAATGCAGAGCCTGGGAGGCAGCAGTGATGGCCCACCTGGATTCCTGCTACCCATGCAGGAGACCTGGAATGGGTTCCCTACTGCCAGCTTTGGCTTCAGTCCAGTCCTGGCCATGGTAGGCGTTTGGGAAGTGTATCAGTAGATAAGAGCTATTTCTCTCCCCCGACCCCTGTCACTCTTAAATAAAATTGATAAATAAGCAAGCCTGCCTGCCTGCCTGCCTGAATAAGCTCCACAATGCCAGAAGAACTGACTGTTCAGGCTATCATCTGAGGCAGGCCCCAACCTTCCGTTCTTAGAGACTTCACTCAAAAAAGCTTACAAATCTGGAAGTGTGTCCCTGCTCAGTAGCCACTCCTATGAGGCCAGGGCCGCCATGCCAGTTTCTGCAAGAAGACAGCGTGCTAACTTCCATAACTTCCAGCTAGCACACACAGCTGGGATCACGCATTTACCCTGAATGACCTCTTCTCACTCTTCCCTTGAGCTGTGCCAACCCCAGCCCTCCCTTTAAAACACCCAGGCACCTCCGCACCACTGGTGATGGAGCTCAGCTCTCCTCAGGAGGTACTGAATAAAATCTGTTTTCACTGCTTTAACTAGTCTCTGGCCTCCAAACAAAAAACAAACAAACAAACAAACAAAAAAGCCTGGACACTCACCCCAAGGAAAGAGTGGAGCCCGCCAACCAGAGGGCGGGAAGCAGCTCAGGGTTCAGTGCCGGAGCAGAGCCCTCCCTGCAGAACAAGAGCGTGTGCTCTCACGGCAACAGCCAAGCAGGGTGCAGGAACCGAGCCTCCCCAAGTGTGGCAGAGGCCTTTGTCTTTTACTTAAACTTGTTTCTAGCTGACACCATTGAAGTTGTGCTAGAGGCTTTCCCAAGGTCCAAAGAAGAAAGAGAAATCTGTCCTGGGAATGAAATGTGGCTGTCATCGGCTTACCTATGAAGGCTTCAACTGTAATCCCTATTGGCTTCTATGCAACCATTACAGGTTCTGCAATGATGCTAACCCTTGCCAGACAGCAGGTGACTAAATGAAAAATGGCCATTTAACAGATCTCAGGTTGATAAAACTGATTTCCAGTTTTATAAAAAATAAAATTCCATATAAATGTAGTTCTGACATTAATTCAGACAAAGTATGATACAATGCCAGTATCTTCAGTCATCTGTAAAGGGCTCATCGCCCCTTCCCCATTCCTCTGTCCTCAGCCCATCCCCTCCCCATTTCCTCCCTTCCTTCTGACAACCAGTGCAACCTCCTCTGGTTGGGGAACCAGGTGCAACCTCCCCCAGACTCCTTGCAAAACAACTAATTAAATAGATGAGCTGCACAGGGCAGCTTTCTAATTAGATTTGAGGAAAGTTCCCAAGGCTTCCCAGAGCCCCCTAGTTCCACTTTCCACCAGCTGCAAAGTCTTCTCCCTCCCCCACAGCGACAGTGGCAAACTCCCTCCTTAACCACATAAAACCCCAGCCCCAAGTGCACTCCAGACCAGACTTTTCTAGAACAGGATGCTTCTCCCTCTTTGCCTTAATGAAGTGACCTGTCTCCGTTGATGTCAGTTCTCTCATCCCAGGGCGGCAGGGGAGGGGGGTACAAAAGGCCAGAACCCCAGCTACTCCAACCCTAACAATCTGTGTAGTTGCTAAATGTAAATTGGGTAAAGGTAAATGAGATAATGTGTCCACAAGTAAACTTAGGTACTCTTAACACCTTACAGTCTATGAAAAACTCTGGATTTGTTGACAAATAGGTTTTCATAAGCTATCTATAAATAAAAATAATTCAAGACTGCTCAGAAGTAACTAAGGTTGAAATTCGGGATATTCTTTTAAATTGTGATTTTCAATGTAAATCAAGAAAATCAACAGATGGAAAAAAGGTTGCCAAGTCAAAGCTGTGCTTCTTAGTGAAATAATAAAGAAAGGACATGGATTGTAAGATTGGAATGGAAAAGATAAAACGGTTTAGGTAGTTGCAAAAGGTGTGTGGAAGTCTTAAATGGTTATACAATTTTTTTGTTAGCTACAAAAGTTATCAATCTGTTTTTTTTTTTTGACGTAAGATTAAAATCTGATCCTCTGTAAAAGCAATGAGGTTGATGAAATACTTAAGTGTTAATAGATATTTGGGAAAATAGTCTTTTTGTATCCTACTGAGATAATCGTTGTCTCATTAAGTTCTACTTGTTTAAAAACAGCTGAGTTCTAAAAGTTTCAAAGTTTTAAAAGTCTGTTTAAATATGGACTTGTTTTACATGTCAAGCATAGAAAGCCAAGACACTGTGGCAAAAATGTTCTACATGAAGGATCTCCGTGAGGCCCCAGTGGAAAGCAGCAGCCATCAAAAGAGGATGTACTTTTCTCTAAAGGGAGGAGAGAACTTCCACTTTGCTTCTGGCCTTGTCCAAATACTGAGAGTTGTGGACTCAAAAGGCTTCCTTAGTCTAGGCAGCTCATGTCAACAGCCTCGGGTGGTCACTGACATCATAGATTAAAAAAAAATTAACACTCTTAAGATTTCTTTATTTGAAAGTCA